CCCCATGGCTACCAGAATCTGCAGAGCTCACGTCCCTTGTGTAAAATGGTGTGATGGTGCATCTAACCAGCCCTCCGCATCCTTGGATCCATGGTGAAGGTGAAACCCAGGCATGCAGAGGGCCCACTGTGTTTATTGAAAGTGCAATTTTTTCAGGCCGTTGAAAGGTTCCCTTGAGGCTTCGAGGGTGGAGCTTGTCACCCCCGGTCTGCTCTTTCCTCTATGGAAGTCTCCTCCATCATGGCTCATGGCACTGAACTGCCATCCAGGCCAGGTGTGACATTTGCAGACCAGTCCCTGAGCTCCCTCTGGGCAGGAATGTGTATGTGCATCCCTCAGAGGGCCTCATGTGTGTCTCAATAGTAACAGGCCTCTCGTGGGAAGTTGGTTTCTAAGAGGGTAAGATATGCATTGTAACAGACTCCTGGCTGCCTGTGTGGGGCTGACTGAGCGTGTCTTTTCCAGGTGTGGAGCGAGGTGAACCAGGCTGTCCTGGATTACGAGAACCGCGAGTCAACACCCAAGCTGGCAAAGTTACTGAAGCTGCTCCTTTGGGCTCAGAATGAGCTGGACCAGAAGAAAGTAAAGTACCCCAAAATGACAGACCTCAGCAAAGGCGTCATTGAGGAGCCCAAGTAGACCTGTGCGGGGACCCCGCGCGTCACCGCATGGGACTTGCTGGCATGTCCGGCTGTGACTGGGAGATTTTTACTGCAGTAGAGACTCCTTCCCCCACTTTACTTCTTTTTGGACCCAGCACCTTTTAAAGGGGAAAATGGCTCTTTTAAGTGCTGGAAAGCTCGCAGAGAAAGACACCTTGTCTTCGGAAGCTTGGCGCCAACTGCACGCTTTTGGCCCGTCCTGAAGATGGTGGCAGTGGTGCCTGGCGCTCGTATCCTGCTCCTGAAGGGTTCCCTGGCCTCTGGGTGGTCCTGTTAGGGACACCAGTGACCCTCCAGGTCCCCCAGAATCTAAGAGAAGCACAGATCATTGTCCTGCTTTCTGAGAGCTTGTGGGTGGATGACTCGTGCTCCTCATTCCCGTCTCTGTACAAGTTGCCCTTTCCCTGGGTTTTTGTTTGTTTTTCCATGGCAAAGACTATATAAATTTGTAAATCCTAACTCAAAGACTTCTTGTGTATGAGGGTACCGAGTTTGGTTTGCTTTCCCTTTGGTCTGGGCTGTGTGGCTTTGGAGGACATGTGTGTGTGTGAGGGGTGGGCTGTGTGTGTTTTAATTTTTCAAATATATATTTTGTTGCTGTATGTGGTCAGAGACTCTTTCCTGGTAGATCAGCGAACCATCTCTTTTGGGCAGTTCTATTGAAAATAAAAGTTTCACTTTGATTTCAAGAATGACCAAAATGGCCTCTAAAAAGTTTAAATCATCATCTCAAACAAACCTGTTTTGGGGGCTTACTTGCCAGCCTGTGGTGATGGCAGTGCCATCGTCTGGTCGTGCAGCTGGAGGACCACTGTACCTGGCGCTGTGCTGGGGTTGCCATGCCCTGACTTGGTGGAGGACTTGGCTAGGGGAGTGTGGCCGACCTAGGGGGTCCTGCACTTCAGCCTGTCGGGGTCTCATCATCTCGTATCAGCTGGTTCTGTAGACATCCCCTTTGTGTGCTCACATTTGCTGCCTGGGGGTGGGGAGCTTGGAAGTGGAGGCCAGTGTAGTTGGTGAGACGTGAGTGCCCTGTGACTGAGCAAAGGTCTCTGGTGGGTGGAGCAGTGGTCAGTGTGGACATCCCAGTGGTTCTGTAAGACAGATACAGAGGCCAGATGCCCAGTCACCGTGGACATCCTAGCCTCTGCCTGGCCCACATGCCACCCATGGTGTTTCAGTTCCGACCATCCGAGTCACCTCAGATGTGCTATTAGGGCCATTTCCTCTGAGACGAGGGTAAACACAGGTGGGGGAGGGGTGCACATTCAGGTCATTAATACTTCAGCATAGCTGAAGCTAGAGGGCAGATAATAGGGGAGAGGTGGAGACCGAACTACAGTTTAGATATGCACCAGCAACTCAGCATATTCCTAATTGCCTTTCTTACTAGTGTATGTAAGATGGTTCATGTGTGTGACTCATACACCATCAAATCTGACGTCTTCGTATCTGAGGGCCAGAGGTGTGAATGGAAGTCCTGAGCGTAAGAGTCACTCAGAGATTCCTGGAGCCCCAGTGGGCTTGTCACGAGCTGTAAGACGACGGTGTTTCATCAAGTAAGGAGTTTGATTAGCTGACGCTGTAGACAGTGTAAGCCAGGCGTTGGTGAGACAGAGAACTCAGGTGGTGGTCTTGCTTTCTGTACCTTTAAGAGATCTGGTCCTTTGACCTGCTAGTGGACTGGAATGTCCTTCAAAACGAGCGGCTTCGCAGACTTTGCTGTGTGCCAGCCTTTCGCAGTCTCCGAGCCAAGCTAAGCCATGTACAGTGATCTGCTCCACTGTCTCATGGATCTTGCCATTATGTGCATGGGCGTGTAATGTTTTCAGAGGTAGTTTACTTCTTTTTTACGCTTTCTTGTGGAGGTGCCCTGAAATAGAGTTGGAGAACATTCTGGATCTCTGTTCCTGGCAGGAAGTTGTGTGAGGAATCCTCCTAGTTTGGAGCCTTTCTGAACCACAGGGATAATGCAAAGCCAGTGAGAGCTAACGTGTCTTGCCATTTGAATGAAGGTTCCTGATTCTGAAAAAGGCACATATTTACCGGGATTTGAGATGGAGTCTGCCTGGCATACGACCCTTGTGCGAGGCCTCAAGGACACAGAGGTGGCTCTTCCCGTCCTGCCCTGAAGTCATGTTGAGAAAACATGCTGAGGATGGATTTCCTAAGGCCATGTGCCGTCTTTATTTTCTTGCTTCTGTATACTTAGCTCTGGAGTGTGGAGGACCTGGCAGCCTCAGAAAGAGCTGAACACTTCATGTTAAGGACAGTGACATCCAGGATAACGGGGCAGGACTCCCCCTGGCTCGTTGCTGGCAAGTCTTATGTGAATGAAAAGCAGCAGGTGGACATGGTGGTCTGTCTGCTCCGCTGCGACATTGAGTGAGATACAGCAGGCATCCCATGGCTCGACCGCCGGCCACCTGCCTGTCCTCAGGAGAGGTGTAGTTTTTGATGCATGTTCCTCTGACACTGCCTGTGTGCTTTTCTACAACCTTTTCACATGAAAAGGTGTGTTTTTGTTTCAGCAATATGGTTTTTTCAAATTCGCAGTAGATTGTGTTGTTGCATTGGTCGTGTAAGCTGGATAAACCCATGGCCTGGCTTGCCGCGGCACTCTATGCAGTGGTCCTGCAGTTCTACTCTATTCCTGAGGGTGTGTCCACGCCCAGTACCTTTTCAAAAATGCAGAATAGATTGATTTTGCTGCCTCCTCTTAATTCTGTAGTAAAAGTTTTCACGTTTTTCTCAGACTTGTCATCTGAAAGCTCTCTTTCTTCCACGAAGATATTCTAGTAAGAATAAGAATTAAGCACTATATGGCCCTAGCTGGTTCGGTTCAGTGGTTAGAGCATCGGCCCACAAACTGAAGGGTCCTGGGTTCAATTCCGGCCTAGGGCACATACCTCCATTACAGGCTGGATCCCAATCCAAGGTGTGTGAGGGAGGGAACCAATCAATGCCTCTCTCTTACGTCGATGTTTCTCTCTCTCTGCTCCCCTTCCACTCTGAAAAGCAATGGAAAAAATATCCTCGGTTAAGGATTAAAAAAAAAAAAGTACTATATGAGCTTTTTTTAAAAAAATATATCTTTATTGATTTCAGAGAGAGGAAAGGATAGGGAGAGAGAGAGACAGAAACATCAATGGTGAGAGAGTCATTGATCGGCTGCCTCCTGCACTCCCCTCACTGGGGATCGAACCTGCAACCCGGGCATGTGCCCTGACCAGGAATCGAACCCTGATCACCTAGATCCTAGGTCAACGCTCAACCCCTGAGCCGTGCCCGCTGGGCTATATGACCTTTTATTGAGACCTGGTGGGTAAGTGGAAAGGCTGGGAGGAAAGGAATTCCACGGCCTCTGCTTGCCTGCTGCTCTGTCCCCACTCGGAGCGGCTCTTTATCTTGTCTTATCTGCGTGTGTCTGTGTATTAATGCGTGTGTGTGTGCGTGTCTGCATGTGTCTCATTTGGAATCTGTTGTCTGTTCTATAGAGTTCTGGCACCTAAGTTTCATTTTTGTGAAAGAAGTAGAACTATATGGCCTGCCCACCATATGATTTTAAGCTGAATTGGAATATCCCAAGTAAGTATTTTTACTTATGAAATTTCCAAACATTCAAATAGAGGGGAGACTGCAGCCAGCCCCAGATCCTTCTCATTGTGGTTCTCATGCCCATGTCCCCCTGGGCCGACCACACCTTTCCTAGTGAAGGCAGCTGTGGGACACCTGACAGAGGCTTAGGGTGACAGCTCCCAGTGCCTTGTGGGGAAGTACAGAAGTGAGGACCCTGTGCTGAGCAGGGAGCTGTGGAAGGCAGTGGCAGGACCCAGGATGAGTACAGAGGGCAGGCGAGCCTCCACCGCTGTCCCACGTGGTGATCCATTCTTCACGCGCCTTGCAAGAGGCAGCCCATGGTTCTCCATGAAGCCTACACACAGCAGCAGGGGCTCAGTGCCAGCATGTGGGCCCTGCCTGGCTTGATGTTGTGCTCCGATCCTGGGATGCCATTGAGGTGCCTTTCCCCCCCTCATGGTGACGTCATGTGGATGGAGAACACAGGGTGTGCATGGCCCTTAAGGTAAATGGCTGTGGCCTGCTCTTCTGCAACGGGTGGACTGCCCACACCCCAGCCCAGAGGTGTGAGGTCCCTGGGATGCAGGGGTGGTCTGGGATCATGGTCCTAATTTCCCTGCATCTGTGGGGTGGGGGATGGAGATAAAGAGGAGTACAAAGGGGAGAGAGGTGATGGGGGAAGGACACCGAGGGAGACACAGACCCTGGTCTGCTGGGTCCACATTTTACAAAAAGCCGCAGTGTGTGTGGCCCTGGAGCCTTCAAAGGTGGTTATGTGAACAGTAAGGCATGAATTAGCCATAAGCCTTTATAGCTTGTCCCTAGGCAGCATGGAAAGTAAGGGAAGGGCCCCAAACAAGGAGGCAGAACCAGCACCTTGCTAGGAAGCCTCGTCTCCACCCTCTGCCCTCTTGCACACCAAGTGTTAACCCTCTACTGTAATTCTCTCCATACACAATCCCCATTCATTCCCTACCTGAACCTCAAGGGCACTGGGTATGGGGTAGCTCCCGGGATCAGCTAGGAGTCTGGAGACTGTGTCCACCCTGGCCATGGCCAGTGCCAAGTGTTTCTAGGCTCCCTTTGGAATGTGACACTGTCTAGCAGTGCTGGCTGCCAGCCAAACCTTCTGCCTTAGGACAGGAAGCCCTGCCAAGCTCAGGGTGTTGGGAGGTGTCAGATGCTCATCTTGGGCCCTCTTTCACAGCCTGCCCACCCTAGCCATGCACTCAGCTCCTCTCAGCCCACTGCTCCGCCCTGGCCAGAGTCCCCATCCCCCCAGCACGGGGTATTGCAGTGGCCTTGTCCTCCGCGTCTCCACCAGGCCCCTGCAGTGGAGCGTGCCTTCAGGCCTGTGCACCTGACGGGTTGCCCCTCCCACCCCCACCGCTATGCTTCCTCCTTCACTTGAACAGCCTTCATGCACATCTTTTTGGGGATACCACCCAGCCTAGCCTATTTGCAGAAACAACCCTTCCCTGCTTCCCTTTATTCTTCCTCTGTTCTCTCTCCCCACCCAGAACATCAGTTCCAACAGGAAAAGGACTTTGAGTAGTCAAATAACAAATGTTCACGACAATGTGGTTCTGGGTTTTTATAGAAAGTGACCACCACAGAGCCTGGTGCAATGGACAAAGGAAAATTACCAGGCACAGAATGGGATACTGGTGGAACTGAGTTTAGCAATAGCTCAAAATTCTTGGCTATAGGCTAGGGCGCCTTGGGGGAATAAACCTCTCTCTACCACCATCCTTCTGTCCCATGGATGGAAGAGTAGCCACCTGGTCAGCAAGTGTGAATGGAGCCAGGCATGTGAAGCCCTGGAACAGAGGGTGCAAGAATGCCAGGTGGGCACGCTGTTCAAGGCACAGAAACACGGAGGAAAGGTTGGGAGAGCCACTCTGGTGTTGGGACAGTTGAGGCCTTGTTCCAAGTGTAGGAGAAGCCACTGGAAGGCTCTGTGTGGTAGTACTTAGCCTAGTCCCTAGGCTGCTGTGTGGAGGACAGACTGAGGTGGGTGGTCGTGTGTGAGCAGGTGGCAGCACCTGGAAAAAGCCTGATGTGACCAGGACAGCAGTCACTGCCGTGCACCCCAGCGTCCCAGCCTTTCCATCCTGGCTGTGCACCTCACGTGGGCATGAGACCCACTGCGGAGGCTTCTCAAGTGAGGACCCTGGGCCTCAGCCCTGGCTCCAGCTCAGGCCCAGAACACCTTTGTGCAGAACTCAGGCCCCTTCAGCAAGCATCTGCTGGGTGGATTCAGCTGGTTGGCTCAGCACTGGCACCTGGTTCAAGGTCACAGGCTGGAGCCCACCCTCAAAGATCTATTTGAAAAATTGGTTACACTTTAGCTTACTGTCCCTGTGCCCAGGTAAAACTACTACTGACTTTCATTTGATGGACACACAGCCCTGTGAGGTAGGGACCAGCCATCCCCATTTATAGATGGGGAGCAGTCTCCCCGGCTCAGAAATGTGTCCAAGACCAGCACCTGGGGACCAGGATGGCAACCTGGCCCAGGCCCTCCAAAGCCCCATCTGTCCGGGGAGCTGCAGGGTAGCCCCATGCCACCGGCAGGGGGCGGGGTGTGGTGTGTGGAGGGAGCTGGGAGCAGAGGGGATGGAGCGCCTGACCCTGCGGAGGCGTGTGCGCGGCCAGGCGTATTGACATCCGCGGGGCGGGGACCCAGAGGGGCGCCCCGCCTGCTGTGTCGTACACCACCACCACCCACCCCACCC